GAACCTGCTACTTTACTCCAGAACGCTATTCTTCCAGACCAAGAAGACATTCTCAATTAGAAAACTGCAATTTGGTTTCCACATATCTGACTACTACAGTATAGTTTTCTCTGTTCTTTCATTTCCCCCTTCCCCATTCCTTTATGGTACATAAAGTAACAGATGTATGTGCACAAGCATTTGCATTTTTTAAACTAAATGGCCAATGGTATGTTTCCATCTACATCAAATGGAGATGGGATGGGGAAAAAATACTGGATCTGTGAAAACACCCCCTTTCTCCATTAGTGGCATGCTCATTCAGCTCTTATCTTTACATTCCAGTAAGTTATTTTGCTCTCACTGTTTAACAAAAAAAAGAACAACATAAAAATTCTTGCATACCTTGTTTGATTGGAGAATTTTAATGTTTTTCATTTATCATTGTAAAACCAAGGACAATTTTATAACTTTTTTGTACATAGCTGTTAGTTACATGTACAATTTGTCTTTAAGTAGGGATAAATTACTCTAAAAAAATGAATCCTAGATAGTTTTCCCTTCAAGTCAAGTGTCTTGTTGTTTAAATAAACTTCTTGTTTTAAAAAACACACACACACAACAAAACCCAGAAGTAACAGCAATCTAGTTATGTAGATACCTCCTATTATACGAGCATGTTTCTAGGACTGCTGGCCACATCAGCCCTTTCCTACGGAACCTGACACTTTAGAATGCTATGCTGCAAACTTTCTGGGTTTCTTCCTTGGCCAGCTTCCATAAGAGATGTGTCTTTCTAAGACCTGCTATCAAAGAGCTGCCTTAGAGATATCAAGCTTGGCAACTTCAAGGTCAATACCAAGAGAGCAGATTCCTCTGTCTCCTGTTGTATCAGTCAATGACTGCAACACTAATTCTGGGTAGCAAACCACCTCAAAACATACTGCTTAAAACAGCAATTCTTTTCTGTAGGTCACTGGCTCCAAGCTAGAGGATGGTTCTAAACCTGCTCCATGCCTCTCATTTTTCTTGGACCGGGCATGTTCTTCACATTGTGAAAGGCAGGTGTGGGGAGAGGCAAGTGGAAACATGCAATACCTATTAAATAATGTCAGGCTCAGAACTGTCACACTGTCACTTCTGTGCATATTCTTTTGGCCAAGAGCAGGTGGAATGACCTAACCACACATCAATGGGGTGGAGAAACATTCTATCTCTAATGAGAGGAACTATAAAGCCACATTTCAAAGGTCACACATGCCTGGAGCAGTGAAGAATTGGGAAGAATAATGTTATCTAGCAAGGTTACCCACCTGGGACCTTTCAGCTTACTTCCAATTGGCAGTGGGGGAAATATATTTCTTCTAATGGTGGCTGACAACAGGAATGATTTTTTAAAAAATCTTTATTGTTGAAAGTATGCCATAGGTCCTCCTTTTCTTTTCCCCCATTAACCTCTTCCAGCACGCTCCTCCCCCTTCACCACCCCATTGTCTGTGTCCACGGGTTATGCATATATGCATACAAGTTCATTGGTTGATCTCTCCCTACCCACCCTCCCCTGCCTTCCCTCTGAGGTTCAACAGTATGTTCATGCTTCTATGTCTCTGGGTCTATTTTGACAACAGGAATGATTTGACCTTGCAGGTGAGATCTGTTCCTAACTCTAAGAATCAGGCTTTGTCCTTGCAAGCTCCTTAATATGCCATGTTTTTGTCATGGAGATGCAGTAGTATTATTAATTCCTTCAAATACCAAAGTGGACAATGGTTGCCACAAGTGATAGGGTATTTCACAGGAAGTAGGGGAATAGAACTACTTCCCTAGAAAGGATGCTGTGCTTGTGGTATCCTGTTTACTGTGTATTAACAATTTGAATGTTAAAAGACTTTATAAATTCTTTAGTTTAAAAGGGTGCCAAGTCTTGTCATGCTTTAGAACTCAGGAATCTCCATAAAACTTCATTAGAGTTAAGAGGATCTTTTTTACTAACCCTCTTTGCTACCTGGGTTTCCCCTTTGTTTAAAATTAAAAGTCCCTTTATTAAGAGAAAAGTCCACAGCTTTGCTTTTTAAGATAGGAAAGGAAGAATCATACCCCTCCCCCCAATAAATAGAGGTATTACTAGCTTTATAAAAGAAAGAGAAGATCATTGAATTCTTAGCTTCTTCGGGGACTTAATTCGGTGGGGCCTCCTGTGGTTCTCCGACATTTGAGCCACATTCTAGGGTTATTTCCATGGTTCCCACGTTACTTTCAAGAAGAGCTACCACTTACATTCCTCAGGGTTTCTTCTTCGCTCAAGACTGGTTGTGGAGCAGCAAAAAGAGTAAAGCTGGGGTCCAGAAATGAACCTGGTGAATACCGCGCCAGGTCCATCCGAGTGCAGCTGCAGGAGCCCGAGGGGAATAGAATCCGTCCCCACGCGCACGGGGCAGGCACAGCTCTTTGTTAAAGAAACAAATACCGAACCAGAAGATGCTGCGGCTGAGAAATGTGGTGGTGGGAATAGATTGAGGCGTTTGCATGCGTAACTGTGCATACGAAAGGTCTTTAATGAGGCGCTTCAAACGCAGGACAACCCAGGGCACGGTGTCATTGGCTTTGTGCACTTGAAGGCGCCTGAGAGTGCCTTGCTCAGAGGGTTCCCCTTTGTGTGAAAGTGGGGAAACCTAAAGCGTGCAGCTAAATGCTGGCCTTTCATTTTCGAATTGTAGGCGCTTGGACCCAAATACTCCCGCACCAATACACTCCCGCATGCTCGCACCAACAATACTCGTACTTGAGTTACTTCTCCGTCGCTGAGTGAGCGAGGAGCGACAAAGGCTCGGTGCGGGCGCCTGCAGCTCCGGGAGCCGCGCCAAGGGGCTGTCCGCCTCGCTCCGCA